CCCTAGAAAATAGAATTTTTGGTTTGTGTTAGCCATTTGGCCTGCAAAATATTTAGGATTGAGTAATGATGTCTACTCTAAGTCTTATAGACATGTATCATTTAAGATGCTTTTGGCTACAAGCAGTAGAAAATGACGTAACTTAGCTTTAAAAAAAAAAAAATCACTGTTGGGATAAAATGGTATCCTGATTGTGTTCCTAGCTCTCAGCTCTGTCCCCTCTTGAACCTGCCTTCTGTAGGCCACCTGCCCTCTGCTGGACACCAGGCTTACTGCAGCCTCTCCATGTTCTCTGCGTCGAGAAGTGCCTACAGACATTGCTTGCTTCTCACTGGCCTAAAGAGCTGCAGAGTCAGTGGAAGGGCAGTGAACTTCAATGGCATGACCTTATTTGCCTTATAATCAGGATCTAGCAATAGCTCCATCTTCCCTGGAGCAGGTAGAGAAGGGGAGGTTCTTGAACCCAGTGGGGCTCCACTGACAAGGATTGAGGACATGAGGGATTGATTGCAGAAGTGCCCGTACCCACTGTGAATGCCAGGAAGTGGGTTTCTGATTGTGGGTAGTCAGAGGCACCCTTTCAGGAACTATGGAGGGAGGGAGATGGGCCTTTATCAGAATTCTGCGTGTTAGACCTGCATTTTAGTTTATGCTTTTGCTAGTGTAACAAATCACCAAAATAACCATTACTGAAAGCCAAAGCTACATTTTCTCTTGGGTGCTTTCCAGAGGTGCTTCTTGTCATCAGTTGCTCTAACAGGATTGTTCATCGGGAGAGCCAGAGTGTAAGAAAGTGAAGTGGTAAGCTTGCAAACAGAGGCTTTAGGAAGGACAGCCCTAACAAGGATGTGGATCTAGCTGTGCAGACTCCCATTGTAGATGATGGCAGTGTTTTGTGCTTGGCCTTTGGAATACTGAGTCCTCTTGTGAATAGAATCCAGGGCTGGGCCTCTGGTCTCCTCACAATAGGTGCTACCAGAGATGACACTTTCTGAATACTGCTGCTGCAGGCCAGGGCAATGTTTACTCCTCACTTTGGAGGCTTTGCTTTTTATTTTTATGAAGTATTTTATAACTTACTTATTTTAGGAGGGGAGGGGAATGCTAGAGATTAAAACCAAAGTCTCATGCATGCTAGGCAAATACTGTATCCCCAAACTATATTCCCAGCTCATTTTGAAACCCCGAACTTCCAAAGTCTTTTACACAGTGCATTTCTAAGGAAAATGGCTTTCTGGGAAAGAACTCAGTGCTATGTTTCAAGCTGGAGAATATAACCCATACGCATTAACAGGTTTCACTGGGCTCTTAACATCTTTGGATGCAAAGAGAATTCATAATGTCCTTGGCAGGTACAATTTTGTTGAACAATCCTCCGCACTGCCCTAGGTCTGTTCTGAAATGTTGTCTTCGGTCACTATGAGCACAGGTGGGGTAAGGGAGACATAGATGAGGGCAATGGGGACTTCTGTGCCTTTTACTCAGGGGCAGTGACCTCTCACATCGCACTGTATGACTAAAGAACAGTTCTTTAATGTTACACTCAGAATATAAGTGTAAGAACATTTTTATGTACATATAATCCCATTTTAAAAAATTGTCCTGAGAGGAAGATGTCAATCTCTACAAATTAAAATCATGAAGTCACTATGAATTTTTCATTGATGTTTTTACATTTTGAAACAGAAATAAGTCTCTTAAACTTTTGCTTATCTTTTTTTTTATTCAGGTCACTGCCAAATACAGTTATTAAAGAATGAATGAATATTTATGACATTTTAAGCATCATGCTCATCCTGGACAGTAAAAACCAAACTTGCTTTCCAAAACCCATGAACCTAAACTGTGACCTTTATCATTACAAAGTATCAGATACAACCATAGGTTTTTCCCCCCAAAATTCCTCATTCCTTACTGTGATATCTGTTAGTCCATGAGGGGTGTACAAGATGGCCTTGTGAGGACCAGTTAGCATTCAGGTGACTTCCTGCCAGAATTACCTTGCTTATGCAGTATACATTCAAGGAGCATAGACCTGGCTCCTCGTACAAAGAACTGAGGAACAAAGGCAGCTGAGGCTGCCTTGCCTTATGACTGGTGAATGGGTTATCAGCTGAAGAGCACCTGGGTAATTTCTCTGTCCTGTACTTTGATACTTGAGGCTGGGTCCAGCATCAGCAATGGCTCCCAGAAATGGGGCTCAGCATCTGAAACCCTGTTTACTATTTTAAAAAAACAAGTGATGCATAAAGAAATTTAGGGCACAAAAATTTCTCACAACACAACAATCCTCTTGGGAGGAAGGGGACTGGTAAATACAAAGAGTCCTATCGGAGGTAAATGTAGAGTGAAGAGCATGGACTGCACTTAGGTATTCAGAATCAAGGACATCCATTTAGAGATGTTGGATTGGGTTCGGTTCAAAGTTGAAATCACTTTTTTTCTATTCATGCAATATAATTGCTGCTCTTTTCTATTAAAGACTATATACACCTACCTCAAGGTTGGTTTTGTTTGCATTATTACTTGGTTGAATGGTAGGGCCCCTTGAAATTAACACTCCACTTTGAACATTGTGGTTTTCACTGACAACACCAACTGGATTACACCCGGGTCCCCAGGGCATGTCCCTCTTTATCTTTTGCAGGTTTGAAGCATTTGCCAGGCAAATTGTAAGCTTCTGAGATTGTTCATGCAGGTCATGGTTACTCCCCTCAAGGGCCATTGCTCTTCTGCACATCTTGGGTTAGCTGGTGGTCCATGATGCCCACAGCTCAGAACGCTCCTCCTGTAGTGTGCACACAGCAGGCTGATACTATAATACAGCCATTTCAGAAAGGCTTGAGAAACCATGGAAAACAAATGTTCAGGAGAAATTAAATTTCAGACCAAGATTTGGTTCGTGAATTTTCAAAAGAAGTTTGCGTTGGAGAGGAGCGGTGAAGGACTCAACTCTATGTTGGATAAATTTAATGCAGGATTGGGTGGATTTCTTGAAGGAATGGATGGTAGGTGATGGAATGGCTCTTCCTGTGTTTGTCAGCACATGCTCAACAGACAGGAGTTCAAACATTGATGGAATAACAGAAATGTACATTGCCATTCTGTCTACCTATCTTATGTATCCATCATATCCAACCATCATTTTCCATCCATCCATCTATATTTATGTCTTTCTTTAAAATGTTGATCTTCTAAGCTGAGGTTTTGCCAGCCAGTCTTTTAGGAAATTTGAACTCAGAGGTTGGCAG